CACCAGCGCCAGCAGCACCTCCAGCTCCAGTACCCCCAGCAGCTCCAGTAGCTCCAGGACCTCCAGCAGCACCAGTAGCACCCCCAGCAGGACCGCCTCCAGTACCGCCAGCAGTACCCTCAGCGCCAACACCCTCAGCAGCTCCAGCTCCAGTCGGACCACGAGAAGACGCAGTGGCTCCAGCTCCAGTAGTACCCGCAGGCCCAGCAGCTCCAGTACTCCCAGTACGAGCACCTCCGGGACCCGTGGCACCAGCACCCTCAGCAGCCGAAGAACCTCCAGCTCCAGCAGCACGCCTCCAACGCCGGGCAAACCACTCACGCACCTCCTGTGGAGAGAGTGGCTCCCGGCGAGACGGAGCACCCAGAGAACCTCCAGGCCCAGCACCGCCAGACGCCACACGAGCAGGCCCAGCTCCCTCAGGCTCCGCACCCCCAGGCTCAGCACCTCCAGACGTAGCACCCCCAGGCTCAGCACCCCCAGTCGTAGCACCCCCAGGCTCAGCACCCCCAGACTCAGCACCCCCAGGCTCAGCACCCCCAGTCGTAGCACCCTCAGGCTCAGCACCCCCAGGCTCAGCACCCACACGCTCAGCACCCCCAGGCTCAGCACCCCCAGCAGTACCAGAGTCACCAGCGACCTCCACAGGCTCGACTGCGTTTACCTGGGACACACCTGAAGGGGCAGGACCCTGAGAGGGAAGGGGGTCTACCGGGGGGGGACCTGGCACAAGGAAGAGCGGTGGCGGGGGGAGGGACGGAGTGCGGTAGGGGAAGAGACGGTAGTAGGGGACCGACTCGTCAAACGTGACGTCCTGGGAGAACAGAACACGGCGATAGGTGGGGTGGTAGAACTGCCACCCTGGCGCGTCAGGGGGGAAGCCAAGGAAGACGCAGGGAGCAGCACGAGGGGACAGCTTGTCCGCAGAAAAGTCGCGGACAAACGCCCGAGATCCCCAGACACGGAACGCAGACTCATCGCCAACCTTCCCCGTCCACAGCAAGGCTGGGGAGGTCTCCGGCATGGAGACCCTGGGCTGAAGGTTGATCTGATGCGCCGCGTACCGAACCGCAAACGGCCACAGAAAATGGGGGGCAGCCGCATGCATCATGGACGTACGGGCGACGTCCATGACCATGCCAATGCGGCGCTCAGCAATCCCATTTTGCTGTGGAGAGTCCGGAAGCGTGAAGGTCTGGCGGATGCCTCGTGCACGACAGTAGGCTCGCAGAAGGCCAGAGGAGAACTCTCCGCCTCTGTCAGAGTGCAGACGCAGAACAGGAAAGTCCGAGCCGAAACTCTCTCTGAGCTGGAGACGAGCTGCGCGGATCCAGTCGATCAACACCTCAGTGACATCACCCTTGCTGCGCAAGGGGAAGACCGTGGTGTAACGCGAGTAGTCGTCAACCACCAGCAGGAAGTAGCGCTCGTGACCCTGTCCACGGACGCGGGCCGGGCCCTACACGTCCATGTGAAGCGTCTGCAGCGGGGCCTCTGTCGGAGGAAACTGGGAGGAGTGAGGGGCAGCACGCTGCCGCCCCTCGACACAGGGGACGCAGGTAGGGGCAGGCCCCGGAGGAAGGGGAGGGAGGGACCGGGGAAGACCAGAGACAAGGACACGGGAGGCCATGCTTCGGAGACGAAGCAGGGAGGGGTGACCAAGGCGGTGGTGCCAGAGGAGAGTCTCGTGAGACAGGAGGCGACACGAGCAGGGGGCAGACTCAGGACCAGACCTGGACGCTGCAGCAAACACCTGACCCGACGCAGCTGCCTGACCAGACGCAGTGACTGGAGGAGACTCAGTGGTCAGTGTGTACAGGCTCGACCCCGGCCGACGTGTAAACGTGGCCAAGTGTCGGCCCGTCCGAGCGTCCGTGCAGTGGGTCACACGCTGGCTCGCAGGAGTGAACTGGTGAACCCCCGCATCCTGTAGGTCAGCACCACTCACCAAGTTCGTAGAGAACGAGGGGAGGTAAAGACCAGACAGGGTGCCAGAGGGGGCCGCCGGACACGGGAGGACAGTGGAGAAGTGAGCAAGGACAGGACCCCCAGAGGGGTCTGCCAGAGAGACTGCAACAGGCCGACCAAGCGGCGTGAGTGTGGTGCGGTCTCGAAAGAAGGAGCGAGAAGCCCCCGAGTCAAGAGTGAAGGTGTGGGAGGCCGGAGCCGACGCAGTACCTGAGAGAGCAGACTCACCAGCACCTGAGGAAGCAGACGCACTGGCACCTAGAGCAGCAGCCTCGCTAGCACCTAGAGCAGCAGCCTCACCAGTACCTAGAGCAGCAGTCCCAATGCCCGGGGCGGGCGGAAAACACCAGTAACAGTCACCCTCATCACTAATAGTCACAGCATACATGGCAGCAAGAATAGCATCAAAGTCAAGGTCAAAGATAGCTACTCCCGCCCTAGACAGCTCGCCCCAGCGAGGGATCTCAGTGGCCTCAGGGAACTGGTGACGCCAAGCGTCCGTCAGGCGGCCAAAGCAGCGCTGGGTGGAGTGCGCACCCCCGCACGGCTCACCTGCGCGGTCGCCGGTGCGTAAGACGTAGGTGCACGGACCAGTACCCCCACCCCGCTGGCGTGCAGCGTACCACTCACGAAGCTGCTGAGGGGGGGGGATCTCACGAGTGCGCTGCTGCTGCTGCTGCTGCTGCTGCTGGCGCTGACCACCACCGGAGCCGACCCTCTGCGCAGCGCCACCCCGACCAGCTCCACCTCCTCCGCCGCCGCCTCCTCCACCGCCGCCACCTCCGCCACCTCCGCTCCCACCGCCACCGCCGCCGCCGCCTCCGCCTCCACTGCCGCCACTGACGCCCCCACCCCCGCCACCACCCCCACCGCCACCCCCACCCCCTTCGCCGCCTCCACCGCCGCCTCCACCGCCCCCGCTAGCTCCTCCAGCACCCCTGCCCCCCTTGCCCTTGCCAGTGCGGCGTCTCCCGCTAGGGGCAGACGCCGCACCGACCGACTCAAGACCAACGAGGTCGGCCGCAGCAGCAGAGGCAACAGAGGGCAAGAGAGGAGAGGGGGAGCACCCCTCAAAGACAGGGGCACGAGGGTCACCACGAGAGGCTCCTACAGCGACTATGCTCTTCTCTGCTGGTAGGAGGCGCTCCTCGAGGAGATCAACGGTGAGGGTGGTGGGGCAAACAGAGAGAAAGTGGTCCCTGACCGGGCGAAGGGTGTCAGGGAGCTGGGTGACTACGTAGTAGAGGGTGATGTACATAGGGGGGGGGTTCTTGGCGCAGAACTCAGGAGGAAGGGCAGCGCGGTAGCGAGTGTCACTAGTGCGCAGGTGCGTAATGAGGTCAGCGATTGTGGGAAAAGCGGCGAGGTCAGGGAAGAGGTACGGCAGGATGAGGCGGCTAAGTGCAGCAGTGGCAGGGGAAGAGTAGCGTGCAACTACAGCGTCGTACAAGGTCTTAGCACTCTTGTACTGACGAAAGTGTGCACGCTCAGCGGTAGGCAAGTGGCGGCGCACAGCAAGACGGGCAGCAGCGTCGCGTGTGGCCCACTGTATGCGAACAGTGGCGTCAGCATCAGCAGCAGGGGCAGAAGAGGCACCAGAAGTGAGGTCAAAGAGAGAGAGACCGTCTGCCCTGTCGCATTGTAGGAAAAGCTGCAGGTCATCTACCCAGACGCCAAAGTCAATGGCCCGACCCTCAGCGTCAAAAGCGAGGACATTGGGGGTAGCCATGACAGCAGTAGACTAGCAGCTGGAGCAGTAGGGTAAGGGCAGCGCAGTGGTAGAGGTGCCGCTCTTACCGGACAGGGCGGCTCTGGCGGCTCGGCGGCTCGGCGGCTCGGCAGCAACTGCAGCTCGGCGGCTCGGCGACTCGGCGGCTCGGGCGGCTCGGCGGCACGGCGGCTCGGCAGCAACTGGAGCTCGGCGGCTCGGCGACTCGGCGGCTCGGGCGGCTCAGGTGGCTCGGCGGCTCGGGCGGCTCGGGTGGCTCGGGCGGCTCGGCAGCAGCGGCGGCTCGGTAGATCGGCGGCTCAGCGGCGCCGGCGGCTCGGTGGTGACGGCGGGGCCGCGTGGGGACGGCGGCGGGGCCGGGTGGGGCGGCGTGGCCAGCAGAGGCGGCGCCGGGGCCGGGAAGGGCGGCTCCGGGGCCGGGAAGGGCGGCGCCGGGGCCGGGAAGGGTGGCGCCGGGGCCGCAAGGGTAGGCGACGGGGCCGCGAGGGCGGCGTGGAGGGGTCGCGAGGGCGGCTCGAGGAGGCCGCGAGGGCGGCGCGAAAGGGCCGCGAGGGCGGCGCGAAAGGGCCGCGAGGGCGGCGCGACGCGACGGGTCCGCGAGGGCGGCGCGACGGGGTCGCAAGGGCGACGCGACGGGGCCGCTAGGGAGGCGCGACGCGACGGGGCCGCTGAGGCGGCGCGACGGGGTCGTAAGGGCGGCGCGACGGGGCCGTGAGAGGGGAGCGCGACTCGGGCAGAGGCTGAGCGCGCTCCGGGCAGGAAAAAAAAAGTTGGTGGGCCCTAAGAACAGTTCCCACAGGGGAACCTGCTCTATACCATGTGAGAATGAACGAGGAATGAGAAGACTAAGGGAAAGTTGGGTACAAGTACAAACCCTAGAAAGCTGTACCCCATATGTGCTACCCCACTATAGCCTACAGCAGCTAAGTCATATAAATCTGACAAACTGAACTGATTGCTTGATAAGGAAGGCACTAGGCCTTAAGTACAAACAGGGTTGGGTTGAGCAAAGCTAGGGAAAGGATGGGATGGGAATCCTAGCAAATCTCCAATTGGTGAGTTGGCAGATTTGCAGGATTACGAGGGAATCCCAACCAGATAGGGTTGGGATTACAAATCTACACCCAACCTACAAAGTAACCTAACCGATATAGAATATAGTACAAAGTGTTGACTGACTATTTCTAACAGATAGGACGGTATGGGAGGGAGGGGAAGGATAAAACAACCTGGCAATCTCGCTGTATTTTTCTAAAAGAACCCCGTGCCTCTTTTGCACAGTGTACAGTGTCCTCAGCTGGCATCAGTCAACTTGACTATGCTGCATAAGGAACCTGGCTCTGTTGCAAAAACACCTGGCTCTGTTGACCAACCCACCTGACACAGCAGCGCTCCAAGCACTCCCTGCTGCCACCCTGGCAATCTTCACTCCAGCCAATCCAGGAACGACACGTGGCACTGGCTGAGTCAGCAGCGAGTGCTGCCCCAGTTGGCCGCTGCCGCCCCTCCCCCACGACCACACGCGTCCCTCGTCTGGTTGTGGAAAGAAAAAAAAAACAGTCGAGAGGAGGGGAGATGAGGGGACAGGGGGCATTCAGATATGTGTGAAAGGTAAACACTCGATGTCGCTGCCGCCCCTCCCCCACGTCCATACGCGTCCCTCGTCTGGTTGTGGAGCAGGGGAGAGGAGGGGAGAGGAGGGGAGAAGTGGGAACAATGGGCATTCAGCTATGTGTGAAAGGTACACCCCCATTGTCGCTGCCACCCCTGTCAACGAGAACTACACTCCACACCCATTAGTTACTTCACTCACCGTCCACTATCAGAGTGTGGAAACCACCAGCTGCTAGGCTTGTGATAAAAGAATGATGGTGGTGATGCGAGCAGGGTGTGTGCAAGGCACTCTCATTTGCTGGTGTGTGCAGCAAATGAGAGTGCCTTTATCATGCGAGCAGCAAGGAGGAGGTGAGTGCAAGGCACTCTCATTTGCTGCTACACTCACCGTCTACTGCCAGGGTGTGGAAACCGCCAGCAGCTAGGTGTGTGACTGGAGTGGTGATGGTGCTGATGCGAGAAGGGACGAGCCCTGATGATGCTCGCCCCAATTCGCCGTTGTGGTTGCCTGTGGATATGAGCACGCAAGATGGGGCAAGGTGGGGCACGGTGGGGAAAGATGGGGCAAGGTGGGGCAAGTTGGGGCATGATGCTAGACGCTCCCTGTAAATAGTACAGTGGGAAATCATGAGACAAGGCGATGGTGCTATGGAGATGATGCCGGGACGAGGCAGGGCTGGGTGGGTAACAGAGAGCACGCACGCACGGTGGGGCATGATGCTAGACGCTCCCTGTAAATAGTATAGTGGGAAATCGTGGGACGAGGCGATGGTGCTGTGGCAGTGATGCCAGGACGAGGCAGGGCTGGGTGGTTATGAAACAGAATGATGGGAGGAGGTGGGTAACAGTAAGTAGAAACTACCGCCCCTCACCTCCCCACGTCCACACGCCGCCTTCGCAGTCCACAGCAGCAGAGAAGAACCCTCCGCATGCGACCAATGAGACTCCGCCACGTGGCAGGCCCTGGGACGTCGGAAACTCGACCGGGATTGGCCGAGGCACGCACCCTTCTTCTCCTATCGCGTCCACTATATGGGGGATACCCAGCCGCCCCTCTCCCTCATCCCTCCCCCACGCATAAACCCTCCCAACAGTGCTTAAACCCAGAGTATGGCTTCCCCCAGCTGCTGCTGATTTAATCTCCACCCCCTCCTCCAGCCAATCAGAGGGCGCCACGTGGCAGGGGACGTCCCTCCTGGTAAACTCCCCATGCCCCAGCGCCCCGAACCCGCCATATCCCCACGTGAACAGTTCCCCTTGCTCAGAAACCGCCAAGGAATGCAACCCGCCAGCCGCCGCGCTGCGCACTGCCGTCCCCTGCAGAAAATCAGGGTTTAAGGTTGGGGAGAAGAGGGAAATCTCGTTCCCCAGACCTAGCCTTCCGCCGTCCCCTCTCCCCCAAACCCAGAGCCTCCCGCTTAGCCACAGGAGGGAGTGGCTGATCCCGCAAGACACGCCGGCTCGTAACTCCTCCTCAAGGCTACTAAGGGACGCGCTTCGGCTCGAGCCTGTGGCTGCTTGACCTGCGGTTGCTGATGCTGCGGCGGCGGCGAATGCTGCTACTGGTGTTGCTGCGTCTGCTGCTCCGTACGCGTTTGTAGCTGCGGCTAGTTCGGAGATCTCGAGGGAGAGAGATTCGATACGCCTCGGGGTCCACTCCGGATTCTCTTCGCCATGCCCCAGCTGCCCGGAATCTCCGCGGCCCCAACTCCACACCTCCAGCTGACACGTGACATCTTTTAAGCAGCTGCCGCTGCTGCTACTGCTGCTGCTGCTGCTGCTGCTGCTGCTGAAAACGCGGGATGATCCGGTTTTGCCAGGAACTGCGGCGCCGGAATCGGCGGTGGGTTTCGCGGTGTCGAGTGCGGGGAGAGATGACAGGCAACGGTGTTGCAGTACGGATGGTAGCGGAGCTGCTGGTATCGAGGACGGTTGAAAGGTGCGACGGAGCCCTGCGTGGCAATTACGCAAGGCAGCGACTAGTAGCTTTGGGTTGCCGTTGGCCATTTCATACCTTAGGGTTGCGGCGAGGGATGCGGCGCGGGATCCGGCGCAGGATGCGGGCTGGAAAGTGAAAGACGCAGGGTGGACATGGCAGGGGAGGCACATCTCAGTTGTGCCCAGCGCCACTCTTTGAAAACGGTTTAGTGCGGTTTTAAGCGTTTGGATGAAGCAGCGGGGAGCATTGTTGCTCACCTCGGATCGCTGAGCTGTGATTAGTGAGCGAAGAGGCTGGGTGCACCCGACGAGCCCCAACAAGTAACACAACTCCTACTTCTTTCGCGAGCGTCTCGTGAGCAAGGAAAGGAATTCGCTGCTGGTGATCTATCAAGCAAACTCCCAAGTATTCGTCTGCTCGCAAGTCGATGAAGTAACAACCGGTTGGTTGCGACATTCGTCATTTCGTTGTTCGATTCGTCACATTCCCAAATCTCTCCAGTTGGCAAGCGTGCCCCGATCCAGTCTAGACAGGGAAATGCATGCTTCAAACAAAGCTTTGGCTGCTGCATGTCCTGCTTTCTGCTCGGCGCGTTCCATGGTCTTGGGATTCCACCCAGGTCCAGGAGCCACACGGGTAGATCACATCGTCTTCGCGCAATGGCTGGCGATAATTTCTGTTTCAAATCCGATGTCCTCGCGAACGGAGGAAGTCTTGGGTCGAACACAGCTTCCATCACGGATGCGTTGTGATCGTCAACTCAGCAACCAACTAATCTTCTAGCCAGCTATTTTACCGCGATGTCGAAGCTCGCGAGCGCAAGTGCGCGAGTAAAGCAGGTGCTGACAGATCCCAAGGTGCAGGCGACGAAAGTCAAGGCGCACAAGGTGAAAGTGAGCGTGCTCAGAGAGATCGCCATGGGCCTATCGCTCGGCATCGTCGGCGGTCTGGTGTGGAAGACGTATCACTGGAACCTGCGACGACAGACGGAAGAGCTCTACGCAGGTGAGCCGTAGGAGGTTAGAATTACCTGCCAAGTGACGATTCTTAAGACGGTTCTCCAAGAGTGGCTTTCCTTGTTGATGGATCTGGTGTCAGGTCCCAGGGGTTTCGTTTGTTTTGTTTTTTCTCTTGTTTTTTTCCGCGGAATCGGCCTACATGCAGTATGCAGATCAGAATAGAGTTGGAGGCACTTGTGGCGGGGTCCAGACTGGAAAACGAGGAGGGGTTTGTCAGCATCTTTACTCACACTGGATCTTCAACGATCCAATGCTTCTTGTGGTTGGATGACTCTTCACAGGTCCCACTCCTGTGGATCACAACCAGCCTACATTATCAGTGCGGTTTAATGGAAGCTAGTTCAAGCGCATTTTGAAACATTTTCTGCCTTGTTTTTTGTGCACTTCCCTTTACAGGTCTTGAGACAGGCCAGTTGAAGACTGTATTTGATAATTGAGATAGGTCTGGTTTCTTCAACACAGCATCCCTTAGCTGGTGTATGTTTGTGTATAAATGGTAGTATACCCGTCTGAATTTCCCCGTTGGTGAAGATGCTGGTACATAACATTCTAACGAAGCCCTTTGTGTGTTTACGTGTTGCGGCTTTTCCCACCAAAATCAAGATCTATAGCGCGCGGAAATGCACTAATTTTGTGTTATGACGTCAGCAGCACGCGTGAAGTGGCAAGCAGGCAATTTCTTCACTTCACCTCCACTCTGTTTGTCAGGTGGCTAGTTTGTTTGTTTTCTTGAAGGGGAATTTCTAATTATGTACACTTTTTGGAAAGCGAAGCCGCCACATCTTCCATTTTTTGCTCTTTGGAAGGGGCTTACTAGTGTTTTAACTAATATCACACCGTAACCTGGCAAAATTGGGTTGGCGCAATCGAGAGTTAATGCTGGGGGCTTTGGCTGGGGTAGCGGGCAGCAGCGCGGGGAACCTCGTTTCGTGTGGCCGCCCCAGCTTCATTGTGCCTGTGCGGAGCGGAGAAATTTCACCAACACTCTCTGACACCCCAGCTTTCCCCCACCCCTTCAACCCCCTCCTCCTCCGCTCCGCGCTGATCCCCATTGCGGCATTGCCCCTGAGGGGAACCCTGTCCAATTGAATCGAGTACGGAACATTCCCCACAAACACCCTGGCACGTGGCGAAACTGCGCATGATAGGAAGGTTTGCCCCCTGATTGGGACAGACTTTCGGGATTGCTGCCGCGGTTTGCTTGGTGCCCCTTCAGGTGCGTGCAGCCCAAGTTCCCGCGCAAAGCTGTCTCACCTGAGAATAGTGCAGAAGCAATCGCAGCCGCACATTCGAAACCTCACAACATCGGAAACTTCGCCCAGCTACAGTAAAACAGCGCAAGAACAAGGTACTTGTTTGCCGCAGGCGAAATGGCCCTCTGGGCAGCTCAAATCTCCAGACTGCCATGCCCAGAGAATTCACGCGCACCCCCTTCGCCCTTCCCCGTGCATCCCCTGCGGAAACAGTCCGTTCGACTTCCAACCAATCTGCTCGCGCCAAGAACCCAAGGCCCCTTGCCCCTCAGTCTGACCGCGCCGTCGCCTCCCCCTAACCCTCTCTGCACATCACTGCAAGGATTGCGCTGCACATCCTTCCGCCCGCCCACCTTTACATCCCTTCCCCATCCGTTCCCCCGCCTCCTCCCTCCCCCTTCCCCCACGACACATTCCGCTACGGCAGTCAGCGGACGCAAGCCCAAGGCGGATTCCCCATATGTTGGCTGCCACAAATACCGCGTGCCTCGCCTCGCATCGCAAACATTTTTCTTTACAGGCTGCTGTTTCTGCTGCCTGTGTTGGGTTGGCTTGGGAACTCTGTTCGGTTGGGAGGTTCTTGTTTTCACAGACGATATTTGGAGTTGGTTGCTCCGTAGTGACTCTTGGTTGGAGGGAGGGATTAGCGGAACGGCGAGGCAGCTTCTCATCGCCGTCGATTTTTCGGCACTTCGGTTCGTTAAATCGACGGCTCTAGTTTTTCCCCCGATTTCGGCTTCGCGTTTACGGCTGAGTCGAGCTAAAACGGGAATCATGGCGACGGCCGTGCTCGACACGCCCGACGCAATTTCCACCGCGCCGCCCGTCCAAGTGCAAGTGATCAGCCAATGGGAGACGGCGCTTCAGAGCATGGTGGAGGAGAAGGTCCGCTCGTGGTACAAGCTGGCCAATCAGGGCATTTTCACGCGCCGCCGCACAAAAGGCGGGAAAAAGCACCACCACCACGACGCGCCGCCCCTGAAGCAGCAGCAGCGAACGGTTCACCGCGATGCGGGGGAGCATCAGCATCACTCGGGGAAGCACCACAAGAAGCACCATCGAGGAGCGGAAAACGCGGCGGCTCCGGCGCATGCGGTGGACGTGCGTGTGGAGTGCGAGGAGGGCGCTGCGGAAACCACACCGCTGCTTACGGCGAGCCGGACGCAGCAGCTGGAGCAGAAGCTCCTTAAGGGGGAGCGGGTCCGCGCTGTCTGGTATGTGTTTGCGCTCGGCGCAGTGCTGGCTTGATTTGCGGAGTAATAACGCCCTTTTTTTATATTACAGAGTGTGTAGACGTTCAAAAGTGTCTCATGCGGTCCGGACCGTCGGCGCTATTTGCGTGGCCTGTTTTGTGTGTCGGCGGCACAGTCTTCGCGCTATTTGCGCGGTGTTAGAGATATTCTGAAACACATGCGTCTTTATTCTGAGGTGGCTGTCGCATTGTCCTCGTCGCACTGTTCTCATCGTCGCACTGTTGTCATCGTCGCACTGTTCGCATCGTCGCAGGGGCAGCGTGACGGTGGGCATTCTCGCGGGACCGCCGTGCGCGTGTGCGCTCTTCGCGCTTCTCTTTTTGTGGGTCAAACGCGGAGTCTCTAAGTATTTTCCGACTTTGCTACTTCTATATCTCCGCCTGTGCAGGGGCATCGTGACGGTGGGCATCCTCGTGGCGCCGGTGTGTGCATGCGCGCTCTTCTTGCGCGGTTCTTGTTGTGGGTCGAGTGCGAGATTCTCTAGACAACTCAGAGTGCACCTCTTTTATATCTCCACCTGTGCAGGGGCATCGTGACGGTGGGCATCCTCGTGGCGCCGGTGTGTGCATGCGCGCTCTTCTTGCGCGGTTCTTGTTGTGGGTCGAGTGCGAGATTCTCTAGACAACTCAGAGTGCACCTCTTTTATATCTCCGCCTGTGCAGGGGCATCGTTACGGTGGGCATCCTAGTGGCGCCGGCGTGCGCGTGCGCGCTCTTCGCGCTGCTCTTCCCCGCCCTGCTCCCTTCCTGCCTTGCCATATGGGCCATCGTCGAGGTGCGCGCTGCTCCTTGCGCGCTGCTCCTTGCGCGCTGCTCCTTGTGCCCTGCTTGCGCGGTGCTCCTTGCGCGGTGCTCCTTCCGCGCTGCTTCTTGCTCCCTGTTTGCGCGCTGCTTCTTGCGCCCTGCTTGCGCGCTGCTCCTTGCGTGCCGCGTGCGCACTCATTGCGTTCGGATCATTGTGGCCGTCCGCTACCAGCAGCTGCGCCACCCCAGCGAGCACCGCCCCACCGCGCTCTTTCCTTCCTTATCCCATTCGCACCCATGTCTCTTCTCTCTCCTGGCTCCCCTCGTTTGTACGCTTCTGCTCTCAGGTGATCGTCGTGGCGATTCACTACCAGCAGCTGCGCCACGCCAGCGACCACCGCCCCGGCGCCTATCCCATCCAACCGCACTCTACCCCACTTTACCCCCTCGTTCTCAGGTTATCTTCGTGGCGATCCGCTATCGGCAGCTGCGCCACGCCAGCGACCACCGTCCAGAGCTCCCGCTACCTTCTCTCCAGAGCGTCTCGGACCTTCTCAGCCGCATCCTGAAGCTCAAGTAAGAAGGGCTGCCTTTTTGTTGTACTAAACATGAGGCCGCTCTTAGCAGGAATGCCCTCGCCGGAGAGCGTTTCGGACCTGCTCAGCCGCATCCGGAAGCTCAAGTGAGTGGAGCCTTCTATTCATACAGTAAATGTGAGGCCACTCTTAGCGAGGATGACTCACCCGCAAAATTGTTCCCTCCGTTTCCTTTCCTCTTCCCTCCAGGGGCATCATGGACGCTCGCTATTTCTCCGAAGGGTGGTTGTACAACACCCCTTTCGAGCGACTTTCTCGCCTCTTCCACCGTCTCTCCCTCTCTATCCCGTCCTTTCGTCTCCCCGTTCCTTTCCTGCTTTCATCCCGCAGAGGAATCGTGGATGCGCGCTATTTCTTCGAAGGCTGGTTCCACACAACACCCCTCTGGAGCGACTCATCCGCGAGCGCATCAGTTAGCTCATTTCATTCGGGTTCTTCCCCTTTCCTGTCCCCACTTCCTTTCCGTCTCCCCTTTTTTCCCTCCAGGGGCATCGTGGTCGCGCGCTGATTCTTCGAGGGGTGGTTCCGCAACACGCCTCTCGAGCGACTCACCCGCCTCTTTCTCTTCTTTCTGTCGTTTTCTCTCTCCAGGGGCATCGTGGATGCGCGCTATTTCTTCGAGGGGTGGTTTCACAACACGCCTCTGGAGCGCCTGACCCGCGAGCACATCAAGCAGTTCATCTCCTTCGGGTTCTTCTATCGCTCGTTCGAGCAGCTGTCGCCCGAATACCAGGAGGCTGTGGAAGGTGGGTGGGGAGAGGGGTGTGTGCGTGTGTGAGTTTGGGTGGGGAGAGGAGGAACTTTTGAGTCGACTCAAAAGTCACCTCGTGTGTGAGTTTGGGTGGGGAGAGGAGGAAGGGGAAGAGAGTGGAGAGGGTGGGGGAGGGGGGGGTGAGTGAGCCTCACCCGCGAGCACATCAAGCAGCTCATCTCATTCGGTTTCTTCTATCGCTCGTTCGAGCAGCTGTCGCCCGAATACCAGGAGGCCGTGGAAGGTGGGTGGGTGGATTGGTGGGGGAGAGGGGAGGAGGGAGTGGGGAGAGTGGATGCGGCTTCTTCATCTCATTCGGGTTCTTCTATCGCTCGTTCGAGCAGCTCTCGTCCGAATACCAGGAGGCCGTTGAAGGTGGGTGGTTGGGTGGGTGGGTGGGTGGGTGGGTGGGGTTGGGGAGAGGAGAGAAGGGTGTGTTTCATTGCGATTGGTTCCTTCTGCCCTCGCTCGTTTGACCAACTCTCCCCGGAGTCCGTGGAAGCTGGGTGGGTTGGGTTGGGAAGAGGCGAGAAGGGGAAGAAGAGGGAGAGGGAGAGGGGTGATAGGGTCTGTGAAGGCCGTGGAAGGTGGGTGGGTTGGGTGGGTAAGGGGAGTGGGGATGGGGGTGGCAAAGAGAGGGGTAGGGGCGTGGAGAGAGAGGTAAAAGAGGGGTGGGAAGGAGTAAACGGGGCTTCTTCTATCGCTCGTTCGAGCTGCTCTCTGTTTTGGAGTCGGCTCAAAAACTGATCTTCCATTGCTCTCCTCCCTCCTCTTCCCCCCGTCTTCCCCCTCTCCTCCCCCCCCCCCCCCCCATTCCATCCCCCCCTCTTCACCCTCACCTCTCTCTCAGCGCACATGCACTCCATCGCGCAGGTCTGGGACCTAACAATGCTCTCCTCACTCTTCTTCCGCCCATCTTCCCCCTTCCCCCCTTCCCCATCCATCTCCCCCCCCTCCCCCCCCCCACCCTCCCACTCTCAGCGCACATGCACTCGATCGCGCAGGTGTGGGACCTCCCAATGCTTCGCCGCCCTTCCGCCTCCGCCCTCTCCCCTTCCGCGGACCAGCAGCAGGCGGAGCCATCCGCGGAACCAGCAGGCGCAGGTGCATCCGCGGGAGCAGCAGCAGGCGGAGCAGCTGGGGAAGCAGAAGGAGCGGGAGCAGCAAGAACAGGAGGAGCAGAAACAGATCCGGAATCTGGCACGGTATCGTGGGCGGCAGCAGCAGCAGCGGGTGCAGCAGTAACTGCGGCAACAACAGTCGCAGCAGCAGCAGCAGCGGGGGAAACGGCCGCGGTCGAGGTGCTGGGGGAAATGGCGGAGGCTGTGGTGGGCGGAGAGGGAATCTGCAGAGAGGAGAGAGGGGAGGGTGAGGCTGTAGCAGGGGGGAAGTGGAGGAACGGCGAGGAAGGGATCGGGTTTATGGCTCACACACAGGAGCCGATCAGGGCGGTGGTGCATCCGCTGTTTGTGTATGCGTGGGGGCACATGGTGGCTTGGCTGACTTGGATGTGCTTGGCCCTTTTGGGGTTCCGCAGGTGAGAGGAGTGTGAGTGTGTGGGGACGAGGGGATCAGGTTTATGGCGCACACACAAGAGCCGATCAGGGCGGTGGTGCATCCGCTGTTGGTGTACGCGTGGGGGCACATGGTGGCGTGGCTCACCTGGCTCTGCCTCGCGCTCCTGGGGTTCCGCAGGTGGGTAGTACTGGGGGAATAGAAGCAACACATCAGGCTGTAGGGGGGGGCACACACAGGAGCCGATAAGGGTGGTGGTGCATCCGCTGTTGGTGTACGCGTGGGGGCACATGTTGGCGTGGCTCACCTGGCTCTGTCTCGCGCTCCTGGGGTTCCGCAGGTGAGGAACGAGTCTTATCAGGGGAAAGCACACAGAGAGGCAGGCGAGATGGCAACGGAGAACAGACACACACAGGAGCCGATAAGGGCGGTGGTGTATCCGCTGTTGGTGTACTCGTGGGGGCACATGGTGGCTTGGCTGACAGGCACTTCTCCGCTCCGGCTTGCACCATTTCCACCAGCCATAGAAGCTTTGTTTAGGTGATAATAAAGTGTTTTTGAGACGTCTCAAAAACAACTTTATTGTCTGGGATGGAAGGAGCAGAAGGCAGAGGCAGAGGCGGAGGCGGAGGGTGTGAGATTCTCACTTCAACACATGCTGCTGCACCACCCTATGCTTGGTTCCCCATCTGTGTGCGTTTACCCAGTACAGGCACCTCTCCCCCTCCGGCCTGGTTTACTTTCACCGCCCGGGGTGGAAGGAGCACAAGGGAAACAAGGCGCACAAGGCAGAGGCGGAGGCGGAGAGCGGTGCAGAAGGGTACGACGCGGTGGTGTTCATCCACGGGCTAGGCATCGGCCTCACGCCCTACCTCGCCTTCATTCACATGCTGCTCGCTGCCTTCGGCTCCAAGGTGAGCATGTGCACATGCTTATAGCGAGTATGCTAGTAGTTGGGTATGTGGTGCTGTGCGCACGCCTCTCGCCCTACCTCGCCTTCATTCACACATGCTGCTCGCCGCGTTTGGGAGCAAGGTGAGTGTTTGCACATGCGTGTCGAGCTGCCTCATCTCGCCTGTCAACTCGCCTCTGCATCCCCCTCATTCTTCTCTCCTCCCCATCCAATCCCTCCCCATCCCTCCACTCCCCACCCCACCCCACCCCACCCCACCCCACCCCACCCCTCCCCACACCTCCCTCCCCCAGCCCTTCATTGTGGTCGAGCTGCCCCACCTCGCCTGTCAACTCACCTCCGCGTCTCCTACCATTGAGGAAGTGGTGAGTGCCTGGCTGCCATGCCGTGTCCCTTCCCCAACCTCCCTCTCGTGTTCTCTGAGGTCCCCAACCCCGCTCTCGTGTTCTCTGAGGTCCCCAACCTAATCCCCTCTCTTGTCCCCTCCATGCCTCTCCGCACCCCCAAATCGCCTGCCAACTGCCGCGTCCCCCACGTTTGAGCAAGGGGTGAGTGCCACTTCCTCGCCTTGCTGTGTGAGTGCCTTGCTACCGCGTGTTTACTTCGAGCAGGCGGTGAGTGCTGTGTGTTGGTTCCATCCATGGTGTAGCCCTCTCCGCCTTCCCCCTCATCGTATTCATTCCTTCTCCCGTCCCCTCTTTGCCTCTCCTCCTCGCCGCCATCTCCCTTGCTCTCCTGCCAACCCTTCATTCCTCTCCCCTCCTCCTCACACATCCCTCCCTCTCCATTTAAGTCTGCTGCCGTGGTCAAGACGCTCTTCCAGCATGCGAGTTGACTTTTGAGTCGACTCAAAAGTCGACTCACACATCCCTCCCTCTCTCCATTTCAGTCTGCTGCTGTGGTCAACACGCTCTTCCAGCATGCGTATAAGCGGGCGGCGTATGCTGGTCACTCCTACACCACATTCATCGCTGCCCTCCTCCCTCTGTGTACCACCCCCTCCCCTCCCCCCGCCCTCCCCTTTCTCTGGGGTTTCAGTCGGCTGCATTGGTTGAGACGCTGAACAAGCACGGGTACAAGCGCGTGGCGTATGTCGGTCACTCCTACAGCACCTTCATTGCTGCCACTGTGAGTAACAGTGCTTGTAACGAGTTGTGCTTGTAACGAGTGTGACTAAAACGAGAAGGCAGTGTTACAGCTCATGTGTATGGTGCGTACACCTTTATTGCTGCCACAGCACCTTTATTGCTGCCACAGCACCTTTATTGCTGCCACAGCACCTTTATTGCTGCCACAGCACCTTTATTGCTGCTACAGTGTGTAACAGTGCTTGTAAGGAGTTGTGCTTGTAACGAGTGTGGTTGAAACGAGTAGCCTGTGTTCAGATCATGCGTTCGGTGTCCTCTGAGCAGCAATGAGCATCGACCAACCCAACATATTCTGTATGGTGCTCTGCCTTTCGTCTCTTCCCTGTCTTTCATTCTTATTTCTCTTTCCCCGTCTCTTTCTCTTCCCTGCCTGGGACTCTGCATCTATCTCCCTCTCAACAGCTCCTGCGCCGGCATCGGTCAGTGATAGCAGCAATGAGCATCATCGACCCCGTCTGCCTGCTGCTCTGCCTGCCGAAAGTGCTGCACACGTTTGTGTACAGGTGAGTCGCTCTAAAACGAGGACAAAGTAGTGTTGGTGCGCTCACGTTTGTGTACAGAGCAATCTAGTAATATCAAGTGCAATCTCGTGCTGGTGCTGCTGCTGCTGCTGCTGCTGCTGCTGCTGCTGCTGCTGCTGCTGCTGCTGCTGCTGCTGCTGCTGCTGCTGCTGCTGCTGCTGCTGCTGCTGCTGCTGCTGCTGCTGCTGCTGCTGCTGCTGCTGCTGCTGCTGCTGCTGCTGCTGCTGCTGCTGCTCTCGCATTTGTGTACAGGCGAGACACACTGTAACGATTGCAAAGCGTGGTGCGCACTCATTGATCTATGTGTGGGTGGCCCTATAACGAGGACACAAAGAGTGCTGCAGCACTGTGCGTCTGCAGCTGGAATTTCCCTGTAACGAGTGCACAAGGTGACATATGAGTCGACTCAAAAATCGCCCTGAAATGAGTGCATAAACGAGCTCCGAGCGAGCACAAGCACATGCTGCAACAACTAACTCTCTGACTGCAAGATCAGAGATCTTACTCTGCTCTCCTTCTCTTGTCCCTGCCTTATTCCCTTGCCACCCACTCTCCCAGCCTACCAGGCGGGGACCACCTGGCATCGTGTGTAGGCAAGGCAGTGGGTTTGCTGCTGCGCTTTTCTCGTTCCTCTTACTCTTCTCCCATACTCCTCTCCCTCTCTTCATCCCAGCCTACCAGGCAGGGACCACTTGGCATCGTGTGTAGGCAAGGCAGTGCGTTTGCTGCTGTGCTTCTCTCATTCCTCTTACTCTTCTCCTCCCATACTCCTCTCCCTCTCTTCATCCCAGCCTCCCAGGCGGGGACCACCTGGCAGCGTGGATAGGCGAGTCAGTGCGTTGGGTGCTGTGCTCTCGGGAGCTACAAGTGGCTCGCAGCATCTGCCGCGGCTTCTCATGGTGAGCGGGTCGAGTCAGTTGCCTGTCTCCCTATGGGCTGGGCTGGGCTGGTTACTGGTAGAAGCACACGTGGTGTGCTGGGTGCTGTGCTCCTGGGAGCTACAAGTTGCTCGCAGCATCTGCCGCGGCTTCTCATGGTGAGCTGAGGGAGAAGGGGGGGGGGGGGGGGGTGGACTGCTGCTGGTGGCTGGGCATGTGTATTGTATTGCATTGGGTGCTGTGCTCGCGGGAGCTGCAGATGGCTCGTAGCATCTGCCGCGGCTTCTCATGGTGAGTGCTGGTGAGCTGGTTCGCTAGAAGCACACGGTTTTCTCTTTTCCGATGTAGATGTTGTTGCCTCGTCACCTTCTCATGTAGAGGGTGGAGGGCTGCTGCATGCAAATGTAAATGTAAATGTTCGTCTCCCTGTCACTTTTGAGGCGCCTCAAAAGTCTTCTCATGTAGAGCGTGTAGGGCTGCTGCATACAAATGTAAATGTAAATGTAAATGTTCCATCTCCCTGCCACAACCCCACTGCAGGCAGGAGTACCTGGTGTGGGGGGATGAGCTGCCGCCCGCCTCTTGTGATGCTGGCAGGGGATGACCGGCTAGTGTGGTGTGCACTCCTGCTCATCCTCCCTCCCTCCCTCTCATAACGTCCCTGTTGCCCCCCTGTCTCTATATACCCCGTTTACCCCATCGCAGGCAGGAGTACCTGGTGTGGGGGGATGAGCTGCCGCCTGCCTCTCTGGTGATGCTGGCAGGGGATGACCAGCTGGTGCCATCGCCACAGGTGCAGAGGTGAGCATCCGTGTGATATTTTTTTTGGTTCATAATCTACACCATCGAGTTATTATAATAATAATTATTATTAGTATTATTATTCAAGGACCCTATCGTCCTGTGTCCTGCAATTTTCTTATCCGGTTCCTGCTGTCCCTGCTCCCCACCTGTTTCTGCTGCAGTCACTTGGCTCGTCACAATGTGAATGTGATTTACAACGACGGGTTCCAGCATGCAGAGTACCTCACAAGGCCCGATGTACAGCACAAATTCGTGATGGCGTTTGCAGCTACATGCGCCAAGGTCAGCCACAAGCACGCGAATTAAATTCGCGGTCAATGTGCAACCTTGGTGTTCCAAGTGTTATGCTTTATTTTATGTTGATATGTGAGATTCATGATTTGTGGATTGTGAGTTTGTCTAGCAAGCTTACGGAAACTGGTGTGCAATAAGCATGATTTGTGGCTTGTGCTGTTTGTTTGCATTGCTTTTATTTGCAGAAACTTACTCACTCTTGCATATACGATTTGGTATGACATTTATTGTGTAGTGTAGATTACACGAGGTTATTGTTGATGTGCTTTAGAAGCCTGACAACAATGGTGACATGGCAGGCATCCTCTGCTTGAAATTGCGCCGAGCTGTACCCATGTGGTAGGGTCTCGAGTTCTCATTGGCCAGGTTATCCACATGCTCAGATAAGAAAGCAAAGCATCTGTGTCACTCGAAACTTCCAGGGCGGTAGTTTTCACCTCACGGACCCTCACAGGAGACTCAGTGTACCCTACAATACCGATCTGTCTGTGGTGTATACCGCAACATGGATGAATTTACCTGATCATGGTAGTCGTCTCGTCACCTCATGGACCCTCGTCAGCCCCAGCCCCAGCACCTGATCATTCTAGTTCGGGGGCTGGGGCTGCTTGGTGATGGTTTCTGGCTGGTATAAGTTTTAATCTCCAGCAGAGTAGTTTAGGACTAAAGGCCCGACATTAGGTCCGGCTGTGTAGGAGCTAAAGATACGACACGAATTCGTTCGTTCGAGTCAGCCATTAGTCTGGCTTGATTGTTCAGGTGCCGGAAAGCATGGCGACCTCACGGAGACTGAATTCGCAGATGCAATTGAAACCGTCGATCTATTCTGTGCTGAATCCGACATTCGCGTTCGGAATCGTTGCTGCATGGCTGCTCGTGTCCACTCAAGCGGCTTCTCGAAACCTCTTTTTATCACTTTCGGCTGGATCCGACGCCGAATTCGGCAATCAACGGTCGGTAGATGCCAAGCCGCCAGCGGTGCACGATCAGCCGTTGATCGGCATCCTGTCGCAGCCGGGAGACGGCGATGGGGGGCGAGCGCCGCGGTTTAACGCCAAGGAAGGTGCGTATGCGATTCGGCGCAAAAGCTAGTTCTTAGGGCGTATCTCAGTTCGGGTCATGGCACTGTTTGGGTCATCCGAGATTCTTGGACGACCAATAAGGCGCATTTTAGCTACACGACTGGAATATTGGTCGTCCCATGACCCAAAGTGGCCTTATGACCTGAACTGAGATACGCCCTTAGACGCCTCAAAACGAGTTCACGCCTCAAAACGAGTTCACGCCTCAAAACGAGTTCACGCCTCAAAACGAGTTCACGCCTCAAAACGAGTTCACGCCTCAAAACGAGTTCTTCCACTGTCCTTCCTTCTCCGTTTCTCTCCCTTTCCCATCCTCTCATCCCTCCTCCCAGAAATTCAGGGCCATCAACGGGCTGATACTCCCAGGCGGGGGCACGGATCTGGTTCCAGGGCCGTTCTTCTCTGCTGTGGAGAAACTACTCAAGGTGAATCCCTCGTGCCTCGCATTTCGTTTTTAGGGATTTTAGTTTCCTATGGAGCCATGAATATACTCCCAGGAGGAGGCACGGACCTGGTTCCAGGGCCGTTCTTCTCTGCTGCTCGAGGTGAAGCATTCTTGCTCATAGGATTGCTCATAGGTCCCTCGTCCCTCGTCTCTCGTCCCTGCTCCCTCGTCCCCCGTCCCTCGTCCCTCGTCCCTCGTCCCTCGCCCCTCGTCCCTCGTCCCTCGTCCCTCGTCCCCCGTCCCTCGTCCCCCGTCCCTCGTCCCTCGTCCCTCGTCCCTCGTCCCCCGTCCCTCGTCCCTCGTCCCTCGTCCCCCGTCCCTCGTCCCTGCTCCCTCGTCCCTCGTCCCTCGTCCCTCGTCCCTCGTCCCTCGTCCCTGCTCCCTCGTCCCTCGTCCCTCGTCCCTGCTCCCTCGTCCCTCGTCCCTCGTCCCTGGTCCCTGGTCCCTGGAAGCCAACGATGCAGTCCCCAGTCCCCGGGACTACTTCCCCGTGTGTAGGGCACGTGCATGGGCATGGAAGCATGGAGGCATGGAGGGCAGTGGATGCGGACTCTATATCTCCTTTCCTCCTCTAGCATCTGTCCCATCGCCCATGCTCAGATAGCCCTGGCAGCCAACGAGGCAGGGGACTACTTCCCCGTGCAGGGCACGTGCATGGGCATGGAAGCATGGAGGGCAGTGTCAGATGACGCAGGAACTTGTTTCCTCCCCTTCCCTCTCCCCTCCTGCCTCCTTTGCCTTCTGTCCGTCCATGCTCAGATGGCCCTGGCAGCCAACGAGGAAGGGGACTACTTCCCCGTGCAGGGCACGTGCATGGGCATGGAAGTGCTCTCGATATTCTTCAGTCAGGTGGGTACTGTGCGATGAGAGCTGGGAACCAGTGGAGGAGCGAGTTCACTGTGTGGGCGGGCGAGTGCAGGGCACGTGCACGTGCATGGGCATGGAAGTGCTCTCGATATTATGACCCCCTCACTCACCCACTCCCCCACATTCTCCCACCCCCCCTTACACCCGCATATCAGGATTTTGATATTCTGGAGACCAAGGCCTTTAATGCAGTGGGCAGCCCTGAATCTCTTAACTTCTCCACTGAATTCGCCACGGAGCGAGCCTCTTCCCTGCATTTTCCTATTCCCCCTCAACCCCCCTTCCCCCTTCACTCTCCCACTCTTCCCTTAACCCCCCACGCATCAGGATTTTGATATTCTGGAGACCAAGGCGTTCAGTGCGGAGGACAGCCCAGAGGCGCTCATATTCACCAGTGAAGAGGCCAAGCGGCGAGCCTACTTCAGCTGGTGAGTTTGCTTTTCCAGCAAAACATGAGACACGTTTTCTAGGTGCCTCGAGAGCGGAGGGCAGCCCAGCGTCTCTCAGATGCACCAGTGAAGAGGCCAAGAAGCGAGCTTATTTCAGCTGGTGAGTTTTTGCTTCTTCAAGGAAAACGTAACACGAGTTCTCCTAATGCCTCAAGAACAGGGCACTAAAACTTACCACTGAAGAGGCCAAGGGGCGAGTCTATGTCAGCTGGTGGGTTGTTTTCTTGGGTGGAGTGGGACATGCATTTTCATTCCGAGGTCTTGTAAGACGATTTTACATTCCGAGGGCTTGTAAGATTTTTGAGGCGCCGCAAAAGTGGGTCATGCATTTTCATTCCAAGGGCTTGTAAGAGCTGTCAAAGTGGAACAGGTGGGCTGCGGAGGCCTTTTCAGGTAAATGCTTCACCTGCGGAGGCCTTTTCAGGTAACTGCTTCACCTATGAAAAAAATTGAGACGTCTCAAAATCCGAGTGCAGTGAGGTGTATTTTGAGGCGCCTCAAAATCCGCGTGCAGTGAGGTGTATTTTGAGGCGCCTCAAAATACACCAAGTGTGCTCCCTTCCGTGTCTGTTCAGCTCAAGTTACTCGGGCCTTCCGTCTCCCCTTGTGCTTCTCGCCTTCCCTTCTTGTGTGTTTCAGGAATACGTGCCAACCATAGAGGCACGGAATTACCCTATCTTTGGCACGCAATGAGATCGCTCTGATTTTCCCTCTCCCTTTGTTCCTCTCCCCCTTCCTTCTTCTCCCTGTGTGCTACAGGAATACGTCACAACCATAGAGGCACGGAACTACCCTATTTACGGCACGCAATGGCACCCAGAGGTGAGGCAACGAACCTAGCAACGAGGTCTGGCAAAGAATCAAAACTTGTTGACGCATGGAATAACTCGGTTATGTGCTTCCCTTCTCCCATTCCCCGGTCCCTGTCCCCGTTTCACCTTTCCCCTTTTCCCTCTCCCTCTGTTGTTGTTTGGAACAGAAAGCAGCATTTTAGCGGGGGCTACTGCATAATCCCCACCCAAGAGGTTGCAGGGCAGGGTGTTTTGAGTGGGGGCATTTGAATGAATTCTCAAAAACACCCTTCGAAATAGAAAGCGGCATTTGAGTGGGGGGGCTACTGCATAATCCCCACCCAACCACCCTTCTTTGGCTCCTTCTCTCCCCATTCTTCCCTCCCCTCTAAACCCCTTGCTTCCTTCCCTTCCCCTCCTCCGTTTGAGTGGGGGCTACAGCATATTCCCCGCTCGGCCACCCTTACCCCTCTCTTGCTCCTTTCCTCCTCTCTTTTCCTCCCGAACCTCCACCCCACCCGCCCTCTCCCAACGGTCCTTTGTATTAATGCGGTGATTGGTACAAGCAAGACGGTCAACGGAGAGCAGAAGATTGAACATGCAAATACACCTCTCTACAACTACTTTTGAGAGGTGTAAGTGACATGCAAGTACACCTTCTCAAAACAAGGTTGAACATGCACATACACCTCTCTACATCTACCCGCCCCCTAGCACCTCCCCTTACTCCAGGGTGTGGACGAGGTCCCCTAGCTGCAGGGGCCAGGGGTCCGCTGGAGCCTGCGGGTGTGCCGTTTCAATGCCCGCCCGCGCCTTTCCGTGCAAGGCGTGCGCTCGCAAGGCGTGCGCTTGACGGCGCTGGAGCATGACTGCCCAGCGCTGCCGGAAGTGGGCCGCCACCTTCTTCGCCGTCTTGGCCAGGGGGTTGGCGCGGAAGCGGTTCCGGGCTGCTGCGGTCGAGAGCAACTTAAGGAAGGCCGCAGTGGAGGGGGCTTGGGCTCCATAGGTCTCTACTGCCAAGGCGAAAAAGCCCACGTGCTCAGTGTGGCGGTAGTAATCGCTGTCGTTGCGCCGAGCGGCCTCCCGTGCTGTGCTGCCCATCCTGGCGGTTTTCGGGCTGTAGGGTCCCTATTCAGAAGCACGGGGTCAGTGATGGTAACGTCGGTGATCCAGGTTTCACCCGATTCCGGATCCCGGACGATGACGTCCGCCTTCTTGGGGTCATCGGGCGGTGAGTACATAGCATTTTCTAAATACACCACCAACTGCGCCTCTCGTGCCATCTTGGCGAGTGCAAACGCCAATTGGTTGTGGGTGCGGGTCCTGTCTGGTCCTACGCTGCAGCGGAGAAGGTGGTTAGGGAGGCTGCAGTCGGGGACGAGTTCTCCACAGGAGCATACAGTTGGTACGTTCATCCGGAGGCCAAGGCGAAACGTCAGGGCCGTCCCAAACTGTCCTGGCGAGAATGTGAGGTCCGGTGTGAAGGGGATCGCTTGTAGCCACTCCCCTGCCCCCTCCCCCTCACCCCTCAGGCTGATGAGTCGCAGGGCGTGGCCCAGCTCCGGGGATGATTCTACCGTGCGGAAATCCGCCAGGAGCTCATCCGCCCTGCTTGCTTGGACCTCATCCGACAGAATGCCCTGGAGGCGGTCGCAGCTGCGGCTGGAGCGTTCCTCCAGCAGGGTAGCACGGGCTTTCTCCGGCAGTCTGGCCTCGAGGTCGTAGATGGTGTTTGGAGGCCTCTCTTTCTGTGTTAATCAGAAAACGGCATTTGAGTAAAGGCTACTGCACATTCCCCACTCCGTTTCCCCTTTCCCGTTTCCCCTTTCGCCTCTCCCTCTGTTGCTACCTTAAACAGAAAACGGCATTTGAGTGGGGGATTTTTTGAGACGTCTCAAAACTGGAATTTTTTGAGACGTCTCAAAACTGGACTTTTTTGAGACGTCTCAAAACTGGACTTTCAGCACACGCTGTGGCTGCTTGCCTAGCCACCGCTAACCTCTCCCCTCTCCCCACTTCTTCACCCCCCTTGCTTGAAGCAGAAAACGGCATTTGAGTGGGGGCTACCGCACATTCCCCATTCGGCACACGCGGTGGCTGCTTGCCAAGCCACGGCTAACTTCTTTGTTAAGTAAGTCACTTATATTAAGTCACCACTACTGCTGAGTCCCACTACCGCTGAGTCACCACTCTGGTCTGGTATGTTTTTTTTAGTCCCATTCGTGGTTGATATGTATGTGATTGGATGCAAGTGTGTTTCACCAGGTGGCACATCGTCAGCGTGACTAAAAGCAAGCGACCATGTCGTGCACATGTCTGCTAAATTCCACTTCATGCCATGCCATGCATGTGATGTGACTACAGTGAGGCCCAGCGCTCCACACATGGACCCGAGTCAGATGAGGAGATGGACGAGATGCTAATCTACAACCATGCCATCCCATCCCATCTCTTGCCATGACTTATCATACCATGCCATGCCATGCATGTACAGTGAGGCCCGTCGCTCCACGCATCGGCCCGAGTCAGATGAGGAGATGGACGAGATGCTCATTTACAACTATGCTCCAATCTTCTCCGGCAAGAATGGGTGAGCATGGGTGGGAGGTGGTTGGGGGGCGCTTGGGTGGCGCTTGGGAGTTGGGGGGCCCTTGGGGGCTACCTGGGGGGCACTTAGTGTAGAGGTAAAGAGGCGGCAAGTGAGGTGAGGAGATGGATGAGATACTTCTTTACAACCACACTCCGATCTTCTCTGGCAAGAATGGGTGAGCATGGGTGGGTGGGGGGGGGTTGAGGAGTGTTTTTAGGGGGGCTGCTTCGTACAGGGGCAGCAAGCGATACGAGTGTTTTGGACGATATGCTTTTGTTACAACCACGCGATGATATCCTTCGACGAGAATGGGTTAATGTGGGTGAGAATGGGCTTGAATGGGTGGCTACTGGTGAGTGTGGTTGAACAGTCTCAATACAAGCAGATTCCAGAAATGACTGGTTGAGTTTCATTGTTTGGTATTTCGTGTATACTGTACTGTTTCATGTACGCGAGGACACATAGAATATATATTGTAATTGAATGAATCCTTACCTTCCATTTGCACATATTGCACCAATGACTCACATGGTGTCCCTCTGCACTGCAGCTTGTTCTTTTGTATTTTCTTGTTAGAGAACTTCTTTCTGATGTCTCTCGCATTGTTCCTCATGCCTCCTTCCCAACCCTCGTCCCATTGTTCGTACTTCACAGAAGAGGCTTTTTCGAGCAGTCGTACGTTTTCAGCAAGCCCCCTGAAGCTGGCGCCGACTAAATTCCTGTAGATATTGAAGTTATAGAGCACAGACCTGCGGTTAAATGCTCATGTGGCAAGGCAACCATTGTATAACGTGTATGGTAAAGTCTAAAAGTGCAGTGTGCTCCAAGGGATTGATGGTACAAACTTGCAGTCTAGTCAGATTTTGAACAAACTGTAGTTTTTATGTTTTCAATATACACTAAACTTTTGCTTTTCAAAATGACGGCAGATTTGGGGTCGCTTCCACAATCGCAAAAGCCAATTGGGCTGGTCGGTTGGTAGTTCCACCTCATCGCCCGAGTCGCAGACGAGCCATACGAGGTATGCGACGGCGTATCGCTGGTTGGATCACGTAAGCTGTTTCGTGAGCCCCTTTGTCTGTCGCCGGCGACATTCGTCGCACGACGTGGCTTCGCTTCGGCATCAGGCTTGGCGGCTCCAAAGCTGACCGCCAGAACAAACGTCTCGGCCTTCTGGACTGTCCCTCCAGCCTTGATGATGTGGAGGTACCGTAGTGGCCCATTAGATTGTGGGCTCGTGGTGGGCCACTTCAGCTAAGGGGTGCTGCGCTTCGTAGCGCGCTTCGCCTGCGAACACCCACAAAATTCCAAGCACGATTTTGGACCCGCGTTGACTCTGGGAAATTCGACGTGCAAACACATTGCGCCTCGAGGATGGGGCTTTCTTCACTTGCTCGCGCTACTTGCGTGCCTTGCCTTCCCCCACGTCGCTCTTCTCTCCTTGACCCCCACCATGCTTGGGAGGGGAATGCTTGTGCATGTCACCTAACCACAAGCAGAATTCTCTATTCCTCCCCTCTCGCCTCTTGGTCCAGCTTGGTCGTGATTCTAATGGTCGTCACCTCAGGCCTGCACCCTCCTCTCTTTCCTCGCCCTCTACCATTTCCACTCCGTTAAGGTGGACACAGCGTGACTGTAAGGTGATGCACCGACAGGTCTAGTCTCTGACCTCTTTTTCGATAGAGTGGATTCCGTAGTTTTTTCTTCTTCATCCCGCGCTTCCTCGTGAAGCGCAGATTAGCCAACAACGCATACGTCCGACGGCTGACCTCACACCCACCGTCAACGGCACCTCTCCTCGAACCTAAGAGAGTTAAAAATGCAGAGTGTGATAAGGCCATAGTTACAATAGAACAAGAGTTTAACGGGCACAGAGTCGCATTCATCGTATCGCAGGGAGAGTTTACCGCATATCATGCGTTCATAAAAACAGCAAGCTGTCTGCACTGTCCGCGCAATCTTAAGTCATACTTCCAGTCATTGCTCTCAAACTTCGTGATCCCCGTCACCTGTTTTTTACATCGCTCTAAATCACCGTGAAGAGAGTCTAGCCATAACGATCCTTTTGGGGTTTGATATCTCCACCGGCTTCTACTGATTCCCGATCCGCTTCTTCCGCTCCCTCGCAATGAGGCTGCAGATCCAGCCGCTGCTGCTGCTGCTCCTCGCTCTCACCCTCTCGCACCATCTCTTACGCGCCGAATGCCATTCACCCACCGAGCTGCCTCGGGAGCATGGAGTGGAGCAACAAGGGGAGAGCGCGACCGGCGGCGCCCTTCACGGCCGCGTGCTGCATAACGCGGAGATGCCGTCGCTTGAGGCCGCGGTAGCGGCGGCTACGGAAGGGAAGAATTCTTCCGCGCTCGGCCTACTTTTGCGCCGACAGCTCAAGTGAGT